CACCATTATTGGGCAAATTTGTGAATAACGGCAATTTGGCTCAACCGGACAAATGATTGGCTGACAAGTGCCGCTTCACGGCACTTGTCAGCCAATATTATTTGTCCGGTTGAGCCAAATTGCCGTTATTCACAAATTTTTGCCCAATAATGTATACTTAGGGGGTATATTGATTCCCTTTTTAGCACCACTTATTTTAACTTTTTTAGGCTCAAAAAACAACATTACGTCTATCGCTATAAATTTAATTACGGCTATCTTACGGCACTGTTATGTAATCACACATCACAAAATTTCTGCAGCTATAGTAAACGCTGTAGTTTAAAACTTGATAATTAGCGAACAACACTTGCAAATTTAATCATACGATCTACTATATTTGAGTTTTATTATAAGATCGTCAACCATGGTAATAAAAACATAGATTCATGCATGACCATTACAGGTTATCATGAGGTTACGAAGCAAGTATCTTTCATTTGTAAAAACATAGTTAACAAATTAAGTAAAGTTTTGCGTACTGATTAAGATATGACATAATAATTATGACAATCTACTAATTGGGGAATAACTCGAATTTTCCGAACGCTAATAAAGTTTGTACAAAATATTTATAACTGGTTGACATACTTTTTTTTTACTCTCTAAATACTCTTCAATCTTTCAAGTTATTAATCTCTCAAGTATTCAAACTTCGAAAGATGTTTCCACAATTTTCAAACAATCTACAAATAGGCTTATTAGAATCTACACTCTTTTTGCGGGGATCGCCTGAAGAATCATTAGGGTCTTTTTTAAGAGGAGATTTGATTTTAAACCTATCCAAACCCATGGAAATTAAGAAAATTGAAATGAAATTCGTGGGTAACCTTCGAGCATATTGGACAGATTCAAACAAATCATATTCAGGTTAGGGTCAATACATTTATATCAATATGGCGACTTTAAATTTTGAATCTCATTACTTACGTTATTAGGACTACACAAATAAAGAAAATTTAATAAATCATATCTGGTCATTTCTTGAACCCACGATCTCTTCTTCTGCTACCAACCGAGTCTCAAAATCGCGTATACGACTCTTCTCAATAATAAGTGGCTCACAATCACATTTGATTCCAGCCGGCGTATACACATTTCCATTTGAATTATATTTATCTGGGTCTTTACCTGAAACCGTAAATACAAAATTTGGCAGCATAAACTATAAACTGACTGCTACCGCAACTAGACCACGCTTCTTATTTGATCTAAACACAACATTGCCGGTTAAAATAATCCGAACGATATCAGATCAAAGTCAAGGAGTTGGTGTTGCCATATGTAAAGAATGGAAAAATAAATTTAGATATGAAATTACCATGCCGAATAAAGCAATACGAATGGGAATGCCTATAGAGATTGATATTAGAGTATTTCCCCATATCAAAAAATTACAAGTAATCGATGTGGAAATATTGTTAATTGAGACTACTACATATAAAGGTTCGAATTCATCTTTCACTGTCAATAACTAATGTATCAGAATTTTAACCGATCTCATGTAACAATTTTGTAGTTGAAGGACAAAAACGGTTTGAGTCAAAAACAGTGGCAAATTGCAAATATATTAAATTTGAGCAAATAAAAAAGAAAGACGATGAAAACAATCACTGTGTAGTCTGTAAAGAAAACCGAAATGAAAATGTTGAAAGTTTTTATTATACCAAAAACATTTCATTTCAAACATATAAATCCTCGAATAAGATGCATTGTTCTTGTGCTACCTCCGTAATTACGATATCACACTATTTAAGATTTATTTTTAATATTCGAGTACCGATTAGAAATAGCATGCGAGTGAAGCAACAACAAATTCAATTTGATGTTCCGGTAACAATATTGTCTAGCAAATGCGAGGATGAATTACCACTTTATTGTGAACCTGAATACGATTATTCATCAAATTTGCTTTGTGAGCCTCCAAGTTATGATAAATCTATAAGTTGAATATTATCATAACTAAATTTTATGTATTTATTATTCTTTAGTTAGGGGAAAGTTTTTATTATAAATTCATTCATAATTTTTTTTAAAATTAAAAATTAAAAATTTTTAATAATAGTATTTGAAAATTTAATTTTATATCATAAGAAAATATTTATAAGTTTAAAGTATATTTATCATTGTAATTTTTGTAACTTATTTGTAAAAATTAAGATATTGTTAATAAAAAAATTTAAAGTAAAAATTTTGAAGCGAAATTTTAACTTTATTAAAAAGGTTTAATAAATTTAAAAAAAAATTTATAAGTTGATAAAATATACAGCATACATATTTTATTTTAAATGCTAAATTTTAAAAAAATATATCGATATCCTTATTATTAAAAGTTAGGGGCAAATTTGCCCCTGATATACGTAGAGTAAGGGATATCATAAACATAAACATAAATCATATGCTTGTGACAACAGAGATTAAATTATTTTTTAAGTCGACGAATCAACTTTTTCAACATATTCAATTAAATCAACAATTCTTGTTGAGTAAGCCACTAAAATTATTTAGGTTAAAGCAATTAATATATTTATACAGTAAATAAGTTTCGAAGATATAAATGACTTACATTCATTATCATACCACGCAATAACTTTAAAAAACGTAGGATTCAGTTGAATGCCTATATAATTTATTTATTTTAATCATAATTTTATAAATATTTTCATTATAAATATTTTTAAAATACTAACCAGCCTTAGCATCAAATACACTTGAGCGAGTTTCACCAATAAAATCCGAGGAAACAACCTTACAATATAGTGTTAAGTAAGTCCTCCAGACAAAAAAAATAATAAAATAAAAATAAAAAGAAAATTTACTTCATCCTCAGTATATCCGAGAATTCCTTTTAATTCGTTTTCGGAAGCATATTTCATAACCTTTTTAATATCTTCATAAGTAGTTTCTTTTTCCAGACGAACAGTTAAATCAACTGCGCCAACATTTAGAGTGGGGACACGGAAGGCTAGACCAGTCAACTTGGCGTCCAACGATGGAATTATCTGGAACATTAGGAGAGTGACATATCGATATTACATCATTACGATTACGTAACAGAACCTTAGGATCGATTTGTTTACAGTAGGACTGTGACGTAATATTTTTTTACTATTGGGTCTCCCTTCCCTCACGTCATATTTAAATAATATATAATTTACTGCTAAAAAATATTACGCAATACCCTTAGGATTTGGATTTGGCTTCTCTCCACACTTTCGATTCCAGCCAATCAGCATCAGTCACGGGACAAGACCTCGCCTTTCGCACACTAACAATATATAACAATAACAATATATATATATATATATATTGGTATAACTTTATAGCTAACCCTAAATAAGATGTCCCAATTTAAAAAGATGAAAATAATTCTGACCAATAGAAAGTGCGGAGAGAAATTTGGGTTTGAAACTTGCTTTAGGGTAAAATAGCAGTAAAATCACGCAAGGAATTTTTTAATTAGAGCACGAAAGTGGTTAATTAGATCAGATATTCCTGATTAAAGTTCCATCTTATAATTTTTCGTTGGCTAATTTGGCTCGGAACATCACGTGTTCGGGAAATCGATCCTACGTCCTAGCGCAAAAAGTAGATATAAATATACTGACTTTGCCAACGGCTTTTGCAGCTCCCGTGGAAGTAGGGATAAGATTCTGTGCTATTCAATAAAATCGTAATTAGAGTGAATTACATTATCATTAATTGGCATAAAGCTGATGACAATTATTGAATACCAGCTCCTCTGCCTCTTCTCCAATCCTGTAAGAACAAAAAGATTAAGTTCAATTTCAATTGTTTTATGCAAATCACAATAAAAAACCATTTTACTTTGTCAGAAGGGCCATCAACAGTTTTTTGAGTTGCTGTAATTGGATGGATAGTTGTCATCAATCCTTCGATAATACCAAAATTATCGTTAAGGACTTTGGCGATCGGTGCCAAACAATTTGTAGTACAAGAAGCGTTGGAAATAATCTTGTATTCAGGCTTATAAGTTTCCAAATTTACACCGTAAACAAACATTGGCACATCGTCACCCGGTGCACTAATTATGACCTGAATTCATTTTTAAGATGTAAAATGTCGCCTGTTTTTGATAGGTTTTTTAATGAAATAATTTTACCTTTTTTGCACCCTATAAAATAATACGTAATAATATAAAATGATTATATAATCACAAAGGTTACGAAAGATAAACAAGAGTTGAATTGGAATTTTCGCATACCCCTAAGAATTAAACAAAATATTAATCACTATAATTTCTTTACTCGATTTAGAAAAGATGAGTTAAATAATACCTTGCAAATGAAGCGATGCTTTTTCCATAGTTTTGAAAATACCAGAGGATTCAACTATGTAGTCGGCACCTACTTTTCCCCACTTGATATCCTGGGGATTCTTTTCAGCAAAAACAAAAATTTCGTAATTGCTTACAAGTAATTTTCCATCTTTTATTTCGACTTGACCTTTATATCGTCCATGGATAGTATCATATTTAAACAAGTAAAGCTGTATATGTAGAAATATGATTTGTTTTTTAGAAATGCATTATCATTTATGTTTCGTTCAACAATATATAGTTGTTAGACGAAACCTTTTTCGCATGATGACGAAAGACGAAACCTTAAAATGACAAAACCCTAGTGCTCCCGCTAAAAAAAAAAAAAGTTATTTTCATTGAATAAAAATTAATAATTTATCCGGAGATCAGTATTCAAAATTACATATAGGCCAGCAAAATAATCCAGCTCATTTTTTCCGGGTAACGCTAGGGTTGTTATAGACCAGTTGAAATAATAAATAATGAAGCACAAAGTAAACACCAAACGATTTCTCACTAGAGCTGATATGTAGTGACTAATATAATATGATATAGAATACTCATTTCTAACTTCCTTTAAACAATTCAAAACTAGGTTTCGCGTTTCGTCAGCGCGAAATCTCGAGGTTTCGTTACAATAGTCAATTTACGCGCATCACGGGTAATAATTGTTGCGGCTGAAGCTGGAAACGGAAATTTTAATTATTTTAATATGAAATTTTCAAAAATTTTTTGGGCCTTTTGTTAGGGGGGTTTTTTTTTTTAGGGTTAGGTTAGGGTTTAGGAGTAGTTTTAATAATAAAAGAGTATAAATGAATTTTGTTAGGGTTTATATTTTTAATTAAGGTCCCTAATTACAATCATCAGCCGTTTCCAGCATATCAGCCCGCGACAATAATTTTTTTTACAATATACGTAAGTAGTGAGGGGTGAAGGGTCGCCTTTAACAGAAAATAACGATCTTTTCAGATTGTGTGAATAATTTATATTTTCTTACTCACTATATGTTCAATACTCATGAATGGATCATTCAAAGCAACAACTCGGACATTCGGATTTTTTACACAAGCGCGAAGAACAAGTCGTCCTATTCTTCCAAAACTAAAGTGAAGATTACATGAATACTTTATGAAGAATACCATCGTATTTGAATAAATTAAGTGCTTTTATTACCCGTTAATGCCAATTTGAATAACCATCTCGTTTCTTAGAATATTTTAAGAAATAAAAGGATTAAGGAATATGCAATTTATACGTTTATCGCGTTCTATATTGGAATTTTTAATTGGCTGATTGGGAAAATTGATGATTGGCTTATAAATGTATTAAAAATAATTTGTTTAACGTGAACCAAATGAATTTTTAATTTCTTGTCATACTAAATCATTGTTTAAATTAAATTTAAAAAATTAAAAATGCTTTTTTCATATATGCATGATGTGTTGAGACACGCAACTTCGTATCTTGTGTCATCATGATTTTTTATCAAAGTGGCTTCTGAAATTCCATCGAATCCACGTTTGACAAAATTTGATTATGCACTCATTTCCATTTGAATGTCTCGTTAAAAATTTCAATTGAAATCTACATAATCTCTGATAATCTAAAATGGTAATCAAACAAATATAGTTGCTTTTACCAATAAATATCTTTAAGCAATTAAGATGGTGAAAATAATTTTAATGATTGGCAATTCAGAAATAACCAATATAAACAGAGTTTCAAAATTATGGGGGCAAAGTATTACATTTCAAAATGTTAGGTACAGTATAAAAACTATAATATTCTATTTAACTTTAAATTATTTATAATTTAAAAAATTACGCATATTCGGTCATACAGTATAATCACTTTCTATAGTCTTACTAGGCTGAATTTTTTATTTTTATTTTTTTTTTTATAAGTCTTCATATATTGTGAGAGACGAATATACATGCTTTATGAAACTAAAATCATATAAATTAAATGCGGGTTAATGATTCAACTTGAAAGTTTTAAACTATGAGAAACAAGAAAATGGTTATATTTTAATGCCAATTTTTTGCAATAAATTAGCTTTTAACCTCAATATGCTTCAGGTTTTTAATTCGGATTTATATGTAAAAATATAGCATGCCAGCACACTGCCTTCAACTCATGCCCAAGATGAGTATTTTGGGGTAGATCAATAAAATCGATAACTATAGTTTCGGAAGCATTTCACAGTATGACTTAAAATAACAAAAGATCCAAATGAATTAACCAATTATTAATTATCTTTAGCTAATCATACAAAAACCAATTTTTATCAGTTACAAAATATAACACTATATGGGTGCTGCCAAGGGAAAAAGGTCGTTCGGACTTTTGAATATAATATATTCGAAAGTCAGAACAGCCTTTTCCCTTGGCGGCACTCATATTGTTATATTTTGTAACTGATAAAAATTGGTTTTTGTATGATTAGCTAAAGATAATTAATAATTGGTTAATTCATTTGGATCTTTTGTTACTTTCAAGTAAATTATGTTATAATATTATTATAACATAATGTACTTGAAAGTCCGAACGCCTTTTTCCCTTGGCAGTACTCATAGTCAAAAAGAAAATTGAATCACATGACCTGATATTTCGTTTTCGTTAACGCATATCAAAATCAGATTTGTAACGCATATCAAGCTCAGAAATTGACTTTTATTTCGAGAAAATGCACATTAGTAAAGATTTTTGGCAGTTGCCCACCTTGTTTAATGTGTTGAAGTCCGCTGCACGCATGAATATATTGCAGGTGACGTTGCGGGTATACTTTGTATCACTAACCTTTGATGTCCTCGAAATCCATATACATAGTCCTAATCTTACCACTTCTTTAATGCTATACTATCGCTATGAATAGGGATTTTGGTGGTTATTGTGCGTGTCTGCCCATATCGATAACAAATCTAAATGCAATTTAGAAAGCTTTAGTTAACGATTTTTGACGCGATAGTTTTCCTATGCTTCTACAAGTAAGACTCGTTGTAGTAAAGTGATCAGACTGTAAGATTTTCTCACTATATCGAGAGTCTATTAGTAAATTTACTATATTGAGTCTAATTCGTTATATTGAGAGACTTTTTATATAACTGGTTTTCACTATAATGGGTGGTTCATTATAACAAGAGTTCTACAGTATAATCACGCGTTCTTTAATCTATCTATCAATTAATCAATTTACGACTATGGTTAGAGCTAGAACCATCCTTTCCCAAATCTACACGAAATCTGTATAAAAACTTGTAAGAATGATGCATTAGCGTAAATGCAGAAAGTGGATCAGAGTTGTACACATAGTGTGATAATTTGATTGGACTGATATCACATGACCGTGTACGCGAAATTAAAGATATAAAAGGCACTAATCCTTCGTCGCACTTTCTCTTTCAAAGTCTTTTTTTTTAAAAAAAAAAAGTTATATCATTCTTTTGAAAGCTTTAAAAGCTGAAATCATTTTTGATTTTTTGAAAAAATTGGTCATTGTACTTTTTTTCAATGAAGCTATGCACCACTTTTAAATGTCAGTCACATATTTCAATAATAGTTTTTCTTGCGATAATATCTCGCCTTTTTACTTGGTTTGTCGCCTTTCTTTCCATTTTTATCATCGATGCTTATGATTCAGCTTCTGATATAATATTGATGAATGAGTCATCTGGAATCATTCAAAAACTTTTCAATTTATCTTTTCATGTGTTTCTACGTTGGGATGCCTTCTATTTCTTACATTTGGCTGAAGAGGGTTACGTTTACGAACAAGAACATGCGTTCTTTCCGCTGTTCCCATTTCTAACGAGATTGTTAGGAAATTCACGCAAGTCATTTATCATTTTACTGCTAATATTGTTAATTGTTTGATCATTAGCGTATTCATCCTAATTCCATTTTTTTAGTTTTTCTACCTTTGAGTTTCTTCTTAACGTATGAACAAGTATTGCTTTTATCTGGCGTATTAGTCGCTAATGCTTCTTTTGTATTAGCATCAGTTAGTTTATATAAGTATGTTTACCTAATTCTATTAAATATTATGTTTTTCAAACTCAATTTAACTTTTGGTTTAAAGACTTAGTATTAAGTTATTTCACGATGAAAAATTTGCCTTCGTCACTGCGATGTTTTACATACTCACCCCATCATGCATGTTTATGTCTGCAATGTATACAGAAAGCCCGTTTGCATTATTGAGTTTTTTAGGTATGAATCTATTTGTGAGCGGAAAACTGTGGAGCTCCGCATTTTTATGGTCATTGGCTTCTTTGACAAGATCGAATGGAATTGTTTTTTCTGGTTTTTTTGCTTTCAATTTGCTAATCAAGGAAATTAACAGGATCACCCTGATAGTAGTTATTTAATTATTTCCTTATGCTGCAATTTTAAATAAATATAAATGTGTCTGATTTTGTTATTTTTATAGAAACTTGCTGTGCAATTAATCAAAACTATAATTTTGAGTTCCATCGTTTTTTTGGGATTTGGAGCATTTCAACTTTATGGCTTTGATCAATTCTGTATTTATGCTACTCCAATTCGCCCATGGTGTTTACAATCTTCAATTCCACTTCTGTATCTGTATGTTCAAGAAAAATATTGGTGAATATCTCTTATTCAATATGCATTAAATGAAGTTAATGTTGCAATCTAATCTAGCCTTTCTATCAGGAATTGTGGATTCCTGACATACTATGAAGTTAAACAAATTCCAAATTTCTTGTTCGCATTTCCTATGATATCATTCTCATTTTTTGGCATATACAAATATGCTAACTACGACTATAAAAGAATGATAAGCCTCGGTTTACAAAGTAGTCAGCCTTTGGAAACCACAGGTATGCTCTATATGTATAATATTTTATTCATTATTTTTGTAAGTTATTGCTAAAAAACGGATCTCTATGACAGAAAACTCAAAAATACAAAAAGATAAACAAAATCAGTCACCCTACTTTTCATCAGATCTATTACCCTTTATCTACTTGTGGCTAATTCTCTTACTTTATGCAATAACTTCAATGCATATTCAAGTTATCACCCGATTTTTTTCCTCGCAGCCTACAGTTTATTGGTTTGCTAGTCATCTATTTATGACTTCTATTTCAAAAAATTCTACGAGATTGGATAAAAAGCTTGGTTATGCAGTATTACGTTACTTTGTTTTGTACGGATTGTGTGGTATTGTGCTTTTTTCAAACTATTATCCACCGGCTTGAAAATTTGGCTTAATCAACAAGTAATATAAAGATAGTAATCAGTGGCCTTTTGTTTATGAAGATTTTGACGAGTAAGATAGAGATTTGATTTGAAATTGTTGTTTATTTGAAAATCGGTAAAAGTATATATTTTAGTTGTACTTAGTGTGTTATTGAAAAAAATAGACATTATTCTCAGAATCCAGTTATCGTAAAAATTAATGTAATTATTTGATAAAAGATTTTATGTGTTATAAGTAGATTCGGAATCTATTTAAATGTGTTCTAAATCAACTTAGCGTAAAAAACCGCACATTTACGCGTTGTTTTTGAACCGCGTTATACACATCACTCTGTTTATATCGCCATTTTTGAGACATTAGTAAAAAAATCCAAAATGCCAATATAGTGAGTTATACCGAAAAAAATGTCAGTATAGAAAGATTTTACTATGGTGTCATTATATCAAGATGTCGGTATACACAGAGCGACGTGTAGTAAACATAGTTATCCTGTTGAACAATTCATCTGATCAAATTTACGGGTTGAATATGTATTATAGAATAAGGCATTCATCCAAGTATTATTACAAATAGAAGTGTTATTACAAATAGAATTAGAGTTTTGATACATTCAATTTAATTTATAGATATTAATTATTAGAATACTTTTTGGCTTAGTTATTTGTATAAAAGTTTTGTTTAAAAATTAAAAATTGTTTTTCTAATAAAATTTAAGTTATTGAATTAATAAATTTTTTTTAATTACAATTTAAGTAAATATTTATAAAATTAATTTTTTTTTAAACATCAACTCTTTCCGACGATCATCTGGACCATATTTTTCCAAAAAACTTTTTGACTAAAAAACAGTAATGTACTGCAAGAAAAATGTAAGACATGGGAAAAGGGCATAAGAAGAACCACACTTGTTGTTTAGAGGTAGTTCTCATATGCTACCTGCTGACAAGCTTAGAGTTTATTACTTACGGCAGCACGGCACTTGTCATTTAGAGATAGTTCTCATACACTATCTGCCAACAAGCCCAGAGTTTATCACTCACCAAAAAAACTTAGTACTGTGCAAACTTGTGGAACACTTGTTGATATCTTTAGAACTCACACTTATTTGAATATGTGCTAGTGGTCTTCTCTGTGTTTTTCACTTTTTGCTGTTCTCACCAAAAATTTCAACAAAAAAGTGGGCATTTTAGCTTACCCTCTCCAAAAGATCGGCATTGTTTACACCTACCTAATTCGGACAACTCAGTAGAATGCAGCCATGTATTTGTTTTATTTATTAATATGGTGCTATAGTACAAGAAAGAAATTGCCACTCTCATTTAGGAGATACCCAAGTCGAGTCGGTATCCGAAATGAGTCCCAAAGCTAAACCGAAGGTTTACAATCGAGATATAGTAATTAGTTGCAATTATTATATAATTTTTATCT